GCCCACGTGCTGCAACTACGGAAGCCTTGGTGCCCTGGAGCCCATAGGCCACAATAAGAAAAGCCACTGCAATGAGAAGCCTGTGCAGCTAAAGAGCAGCCCCTGCGCCCTGCAACTAGAGAAAAGCCCGAGCAGCAGTGAAGACCCAACAGAGCCAAAAACAAATTAAGAAAGATTGTGTACATTTTCTGCCTTAAACAGTTGGAATGGTTCTTCTTTCTGAGAATAAAAGCAATGAGATTTAATCACATTTCCCATTTCGTCCCTGCTACTAGGAAGCCCACCACCAACGGAGATCCTTAATCACAGCCCTCTTTTTTTCCTATTTCAATTTTATACCACACATTTGTCCTTTGTTATGGTCTCTACAAATACTTTTGAGAAAAGAAAAACAAAGAGGGGAGATAAAGGGAGTTAAAGAGCGAGAGATTGATCTCGCAGCTCAGATAATTATCAGCACAACAAACCCTCTTTGTCAAATTGATAAAACATGGTTGGAGAAGACACATGTTTTCTGTCTGTGACAAGGGAGTGAACTGTTCCCCCAAAGAGTGCTGTTTACTCCCTCATTTTCCTGATGTCCCAGAGCTGTAGGTCCCTTGGCTAGATCCCAAACTGATACTCAGAGAATGTTATTAGTTGCTGAAGAGTTGGGACCATTACAAAAGCTCTTGTGAAACTGCTTAGGGACAAGTGTGGAAATGACATAAATAGACCTGCATTTTCTTTAAGGTTAGAAACAGTGGTTTATCTGATTATAACTTCTAACCTGCTGTTGGTCCTGCTAACAAGTGTGGAGATAACTGCAACAGCCCAGGCCACCATCCGAAATCTCTCCTGCTCCGTCCTGCCCTTGATGGCAAAGCATTCCTCTCCTCCCTCTGACCCGTCCAGGACTCTCCTTAGTCCAGGTTTCTTAAACAAAGGTTCAAGGGCTCCACAGATAGAGCTCCCAGGGATCCAAGTTCTAAGGATTAATTTAAATTTTTTTTGTACTCTTATTTGTATTTTTGAGAAAGTTAAAGCATTTCTGGATTATCCCTGGGCCACCCCTGCTTACCTAGTCCTACCATGTGAAATTATGGCACATGTGTTCATTGATGGCCTTGGTGGTCCTGTGTAGCTCCATTTTTATTGTCTTGGGCTCATTAGAAATGGGCAGAGACAGAAAATATATAAATGATGTATTTGGACCAAGTAAAGGTCAAGTGATATTACAGGGTGCTGGAATTTATAGTAACTAGAAATGAGAAAGTGGTGGGAGAATTGACTGGCATATAGAGGAGGGATGCCACGCTGCAGAGATTCTGTCCCAGCACAGACAGCAAGTACCTTGTATGTGTCAAGGTTCCAGTAACACGTCATCAATCCGTCAGGTTAATGTTCATTTGAACGTTTGGTCTCGTCTACCTACTTTTATAATCGTGCGTACTTTAGTACCATTATACTTTTAATAAATTATACATTATACTCTTAATAAATCTATGCTAGCCTGAAATCATTTTCAAATAAGAAGTTAAGAACCTCTCTGGTGGTCCAGTGGTTGAGCATCTGCCACCAATGCAGGGACAGGGTTTGATCCCTGGTCCGGGAAGATCCCACAAGCCACAGGGCGACCAAGCCTGGCTGCCACAACTGCCGGGTCCGTGCTCTGCAACGAGAAAGCTGCAGTGAGACGCCCGCCCGCCACAGCTACAGAGCACCCATCACAACGGGTGAGAACCGAGCTCAGCCACGACCACCCAGCGCAGCCATGCATTTACAAAGTTTAAATAAAACCAAACATTTTATTTTAAAAATTCAACACTACAGGCCTAAGTGAGTTTTCTCCTCTGAGAAGCAGTTGCGACTGTGTCTCAGGACTGAGAGTACTTACTCTCTTGACCTGCGCCCCGAGTCCTCCGAGGGGAACGGCCCTGTCTCACTGCAGCAGGTGCGCCGTTTGCCACCTAGACTGCCGTGGAGGAGGAGGAAATGGAAAAGAGAGAAACCGCAAATACCACGTTTCAAAGCCCCTTTGAGTTATTTTCTGTCTCTGCAACTGGACGTAAAGCGACGCCATGGTATAGTTTCCATTTTTCATGGCTTTGTGGTCCTGAGTGCAGCCTTCCTGGGGAGGCAGCCAGCCATAAAATTGTCTCCAACTGAAAACAACCGAGGGGAAAGTAGGAAGTCCCCCTGTTTCTCCGCTCATTTGGCCATTCATTGCCTTCAAACCTGTCCAATAGTGATTTAAATGGACAAAATTGACGCACCCTTTCCCCCTCCTTTTCCTTCTATTTCTTTTAGAACAGTTCTATTTGTTTTTTTAAGTGGCATGAATGCTCTTCCTAAGGTGATTAATACATCTGCTCAGAAGTCAGGATGTGCAAAAGTCAGAGTTTTACTGTTCAAAATAAATATGAATTGAACTTCATGACCTAGGGTTGACCTGCAACAAAAATCATAGAGCTGGTGAAATTTGTATTTGAAATTTCAGGCCTCGTATTTTTAATTTTTTTCTTCTTTCATAAAGAATGAATTGCCCCTGGGTACCATACCTTGTACCTGAAGTAGACCTGATCTTATTTTCTAAATGCTGAACCATACTTTGTTGGATTTAATCAGCGTCCCTGCAGGGTACAGGCAATGTTCCAATTTTGCAAATAGTAGAACCGAGGCTTGAAAAGTTAAGGGTCTTGCATAGGTCTTCTGATTTCAGATCTCACCCACTTTCTACTCAGTGCTCTCACACTCTTTCCCTAGTCTTCGATGTAAAAATATGATCATGTATAACATTGCCCACTCTTATACACTTATATTTTATATCAATTCGCTCAAAGTCATAGGCTGAAGGCTTGGCTCCTGTATTAATTCCCTAAGACTGCCATAACAAAGTAGCACAAATTCGCTGGCTAAAAGTAACAGGAATTTATTCTGTTACAGCTCTGGAGGCTAGAATTTTAAAATCAAGGTGTCAGCAGGGCCGTCCTCTCTGATGGCTCTAGGGTACACCCTTCCTTTCCCTCACCCACTTCTGGTTGTGGCTGCCAATCCTGAGCATCTCTTAGCTAGTAGAAGCATCACTCCAGCCTCTGCCTCTGCCGTCACATGGCCTTCTCTCTGTGTCTTTGAGTCTCTGCAGTCTCTCCTTATAAGGACACTTAGTCATTGGACTAGAAACCATCTTAACTCAGTATGACTTCAGTTGAATTGCATCTAAAAAAAAACAAACAAACCAGGAACTCCCCTGGTGATCCACTGGTTAAGACTACACACTCCCAATGCAGGGGCCGCAGGTTCAATCCCCAGTTAGGGAACTAGATCCCACATGCTGCAACTATGAGTTTCCGCAACTGGGCTTCCCAGGTGGCGCTAGTGGTAAAGAACCCTATGCAGGAGATAAGAGACATGGGTTCAATCCTTGGGTTGGGAATATCCCCTGGAGAAGGGAATGGCAACACACCCCAGCATTCTTGCCTGAAGAATCCCATGGATAGAGGAGCCTGGTGGGCTACAGTCCATAGGGTCGCAAAGAGTCAGACATGACTGAAGTGATTTAGCACACACGCCTGCCACAACTAAAGATCCTGGAAGCGAAGGGATCCTAAGTACCACAACTAAGACCTGACGCAGCCAAATAAGTATTTTTTAAAAAACTATTTCCAAATAAGGTCACATTCTGAGGTCCCTAATATAAGCCCTTCCCAATTGCCCCATGCATGTTCTAAAATGAATTGTACAGACTATGGTTCAGAGTTGGAAATGCAAGGTCAGCTTCTTGTATGCAACTCAGGCCCTTGGCTCTACTGATTCAGTTTAGAGGAGGGAGTTCCCTGATCCCTCTGCATTCCCAACTCTAGACCACCCCCAGTCCAGCCTGGAGGGGGCAGACCTCACAACATAGATTTGAGTGGATGGATCGGTGGCTCAATAGATGAATGTGGCAGAGAGGAAAAGATCAAAGGTAATACATGTAAATGCCCACATATTTTGCTTCCAAATGATGTAACCCAGACAGACTGCCTTATGCACCAAAGCAAATATACTGACTAATGTAACCCAAAAGCCCAGAACTTGGGGGTCTGGTTTCAACAACATATGGACCTGGGCATTCAGATGATGTCACTGGAAATACATCCCCTTGTCTTTCTGCTCATCTTTCCTCAGTTCCCTTCATTTCCAGTCTAGTGCTCCCTGCATGGTAGCCCTCCTCTCTGTCCCCAAGCTCCAGGCTGCATTCTCTCAGCTCAGCAGCTTGAAAGGGCAGGGAGCAGAGAATGAAGGAAAGCAGGTTCCCAGAGGAGAATCAAGGCACTGGTACTGAGGTAGCGAAAAGCTACAGGTGTACACAGTGATGGGCTTGTAGAAAAACTGGATCCCCTTGCTTTGAGATAGATCAATCCAATTCCAGAACTCTAGGCTTCTGTCCTGCTTTAGTCCAGAATATGGGAGGACTAGACATCAGATTCGAGTGGAAAGTGGGTAGCTTTGGTTGCCAGGCAGACCTGAGTTTGAATACTGACTCTCTTACTGTGTGGCCTCAAGCTAGAAACAATCTCTTTCAATCTGTTTCCTTTTCTTTGCAGCTGGACTTTCAGCTCCATCAGGGCAGTTACCTTGTTGCACTTTCTCATTACTGCAACTCTGGTAACTAGCAGCATGTTACCTGGCATGGTGGCAGGCTATTTGATGTTGTTCAATAAATCAATAATGGTTCAAGCTTTTCAAGAAAAGAAAAACTATATATGGAGCTCTGGTACAATGCCTGGGGTGTAGAGGGTGATGGGCAAGTTAGAGTTGGTCATTATTATTACTCTGCAGAGGAAGGACAGTGGAACTGAGAACCAGAACAGCCCTGACGGCTGTCAGAGAACTAGAGATGGAGACAGGCCATCTGGGTTGGCAGTGCAGCCTTGGTCGCCTGCGTTGGCCATTGTGGCTGTGGACGGTGGTCCTGTACCACATCCCACACCACGTACTGATTTCTTACCCCTCCTTTGTCTCCCCTGCAGTTGGAGCTCTCCAACACGGCGGTCCTGCACCAGATGCGGCGGGACCAGGTCACCGACACCTGCCGGGCCAACAGCGCCGTGAGCCGCAAGCGGCGGGTGCTGACCCCCAACGACCTGAAGCACCTGGTGGTGGATGAGGACCACGAGCTCATCTACTGCTACGTGCCCAAGGTGGCGTGCACCAACTGGAAGCGCCTCATGATGGTCCTGACCGGCCGGGGCAAGTACAGCGACCCCATGGAGATCCCGGCCAACGAGGCGCACGTCTCGGCCAACCTGAAGACCCTCAACCAGTACAGCATCCCGGAGATCAACCACCGCTTGAAAAGCTACATGAAGTTCCTGTTCGTGCGGGAGCCCTTCGAGAGGCTGGTGTCCGCCTACCGGAACAAGTTCACGCAGAAGTACAACACCTCCTTCCACAAGCGCTACGGCACGAAGATCATCAAGCGGCAGCGCAAGAACGCCACGCAGGAGGCCCTGCGCAAGGGCGACGACGTCAAGTTCGAGGAGTTCGTGGCCTATCTCATCGACCCGCACACCCAGCGCGAGGAGCCCTTCAATGAACACTGGCAGACGGTCTACTCCCTGTGCCACCCGTGCCACATCCACTACGACCTCGTGGGCAAGTACGAGACGCTGGAGGAGGATTCCAATTACGTCCTGCAGCTGGCGGGCGTGGGCAGCTACCTGAAGTTCCCCACCTACGCCAAGTCCACGAGAACTACTGATGAAATGACCACAGAGTTCTTCCAGAACATCAGCTCGGAGCACCAGACGCAGCTGTACGAAGTCTACAAACTCGATTTTTTAATGTTCAATTACTCAGTGCCAAGCTACCTGAAATTGGAATGAAGGGGGGGGGGGAGGGTGTGGGTGGGGAGAGGGGAGAGAGAATCGTGCTTTTTTTAATTTAAGATTTTTATTTGTCAAAAAGAATTATATGGATATTGGGTTATTTTGTAAATTAATGTTTCTTTGGGGATTGATGCTGCGAGCAGCATGGTGAGAATTATTTAAAATCCTTACTAGGGAAGGACGGCTGTCTTGGCAGGGGACTAGGATGGGTGTCCTTGTTTTTTTAGACGTGAATCCCACGACATTGTCTCAGAGGTTTCTTTGTGTTCTGGTGAATTCCATGAATTGTGCATTCCATAAATGCTAATTAAGTTATTTATAGTTATTTAAACCTGGTCTCTGTATAGATTTCTTTGGGGGGGGGGCAACAAGATTTTAATGTCTTTTCCGAAGAAATCTATGTTTTCATTTTGTGCTTGCAAACAGCTCCTGCAGGGGCATGAATGTTCTCCTTACTAACCGCTCAGAGTCACTGTGATAACCATTGTGCTGTCCATTGATGCCACCATTCTTAAAATTCTGCTGGAAATAAATAGAGGCACCTTTGCAAGGGACTGATTCCAAAACTGATTTCAGTCATGTCATGCTAAAGTGATTTTTTTTTTTTAAATCCCAAGAAGAGAGCTGATTGTGGCTTTTTCCCCCCCACCAGAATTAGCAATCTGGTAGTAGGCTTTTGTACAGACATTTGTAACTGGCAGTGCCAGTTGTGATGAGAGTGAAGTGGCTGTTGTTTTACATTCAACAAGTATTTATTGAGCAACTACTATGTGCTAGGCCTAATTCTAGACCCTGTGGGTAGAGCATTGAACAAAACCAATAGTCTCAGCCCTCAAGAAGCTTTACATAGACACAGAGTATCCAGCTCAACAATTAGCAAACCCCTGGTATCCGTGGACTTAATGTGAGGTTTGGACGCTTCATGAACAACCCCAGGAGGATCGGATCCCTACAGATTTGCATTTTTTATGGTCCAGTTTGAAAACCACATGCTTGAAGCAGGGCACTTAATGAGTAGTCCAAGCTCTTTGCCCAACACAAGAGGTGACCAATTCCCTGTCATGTGCCCATTCCAGTTTATTGGTAATATTTGCCTTTAAGCCCCAGAAGAGATTTGCCAGGCATGGCATAGAAGAATGCTGTGACTGATTAGTGATGTCTGCCTTGGTGAGGGAAAAGGAGATATTCGCCCACTGCCTCCTCCTGTCATTTCCAGCCGAGCATTCAGGTCTCCACCCAGAAGTGTTGTTTTCTACTCTTTGCCATGTAAAAAAGATTGAAATTTTGTGGCAGGACTCCGACATCAGAGGATTTGCAATGGCCTGGCATTTCTACTCCTGGTGGAGGTCAGAGGCACACTGTTTATACACACAAGCACAGGCATACCCTCCCCCGTGTCCTCCAGAGGCCAAGAGACCATCAGCGCCTCCGGGACCACCAGCAGTGAGCCGCAAGGACCGCCTCTGGGATGGTAATGCATGCCCCTTCCCTCTGGAAGGCGGGAAACAGTCCATTTTCTGTTCCTGGCTAATTAACGCTTGCACACTCTTCTCATTTCTGAGGCCATGGTTGAAGTTTGAGCCACCTCCCTCTTACAGCCAGTGAATGAGTTGGTAGCAGAGACTGTATATAATAATAATAATAATAATAATAATAGTTCTAATAATAGGGGGTGGGGGGGCAAGTTTTGCTTTTTGTTTCTTTGACTCAGTGTATAGCACAGAGGTGAGAGTATTCTAAACAAACAAAAAATGAATAATTTATTCACAGAAACTATTAAAACTGTATCAGCAAGCTCACAGCCAGCTCAGTGAATGAGGCATGCAGTGGAGAGGGTGGCCGAAGCTATTTATAAAATGTCATATACCTTCTTCCAAGCTCTTTCCCCTTTGTGAAGGGCACAGTGACCATACACTTGATGGACAGAGATGTATGCAAGTAGAGTGACAGACTTCAGCTCTCTCTGGTATTATTATCCCTGGACCCTATGACCAAGCAGAGGAAACTGTCCTCAGAGACAAAGCTTCTACTAATGAAAGAGGTTTGGCGTTTCCTGATAACGTGCTTCAGAGAACACAGGTTCTCCTCAGACACAAGTTGGTGTGATGCAAAATAAGGGTTTTGTGGTCAGGTGTCTCTGGGAAACAAAGCGAAGTCCATTTTCTTTTCTGCAGGACTTTTCAGAGCCTTGATTGTGTTCTGTGTGTTGTGAGTCCCCAGGAGCATCACTGATTGAGTCCGTGGCATTTCCTGACCTTCCATGAGCAGGATGCTCTATTTTAAAGGCTATCTCACAGAGCTAGCATCACACTCTGTAGGCTTTGGTTAAGTCATTTTAGCACATCTGAGGTCTTCTAGGATAAAAACTGCTTCCCTCACCCCGCCCCTCCAAAAATATCCAAAACACAGCAACAATAAACCACCATCACTGTGCCCACCTGATTTATGATAGCAGTGAAGGTTGTTTACCGAATGAATTCAGTTTTCGCTTAAGTGCAATGGTTCTGATTCTGGGTATTACATGGGTCACAGTTCCCTCCCTGCTGCAGGGAGCAGAGAAATCTTGGGTGGTGTGGACAGAAAGGAAGGAGGGGGTACAGAGCCTCAGAGAGACCCCCAGCACTCTAGCTTAAGATTGCTCAGTGCAAGCTGACTGCTCAGCTCTTAACGAGTGCTTCTTCAATTCTACAGTTTGGAAATGTTCACTATGTCCTTTTCGTTTTTTTAAGTGGAAATTCACGTAGATTTCCCAGGCTTTGTGTTTCTGCGTCTCGTCCATTTTTGATCAGCTATGATGCCTTCTTTCATCCGTCTTCTCCCTCTAGTGAGAAGGAGTGTCCTTCAGGACTGTACGGCAGTGTGGTTCGACCACGAAGGGCTCTTTCTCCTCGTGTTGTGTGTCCATAGTTTATTTTCTAATGCCATAAAAACTTAAAAAAATAATAGATTCAACTGTTTTTGCAGAATGTAGAAAGAACTCTGTGTCCTTGGTTAAAAAGAATCCATAGGTGAAAATGTGCCTGGAAAATGAAAGTTCTGGGTTCTTTTGTTCCTTTTTTTTTTTTTTTTTTTAAGAAAACTGAACATGCTTTCTATTGCATGCTTAGCTGGAGAAAAGTACAGGCAGGTGTCCCATCTCCCAGCGACTTTTCAAAGGTGCTGCCTTGTTCTCAAAACCAGGTACAGAGAAGCATTTACAAGGACTTTCCTGCTTAACCTGTCCCTTTGGTTGGACAACTCTGTTAGCCACGGGGTTTGAATTTCTGCAGCTGCTCCAGACCCTCTCCCATCTCTGCCTCCCCAGCTGGTCTGGGAAAAAGGATAGTCTGCTGACCTGTGGTGTCTCAGAGGGAAACCTTCCTTCCCACCTGTCCACCAGCTGAGTTTCACTGTCCTGCCTGTTCACGCGGATGGCATAGGACGGCAGTGGACAGAGGAAACTTTATCAGACCAGTGTCCTGGTGGCAAAGGTGTGGAAGCACCAGGGTCCAATCTCTGCTGGTAGAAAATGCCCAAAACAAAAGCGAGTCCGCAGCTTCCTTAGCTGGTGGGGTCTGGACCAGTGCTGAGCTAGTGATCGCTAAAGTCCTGATGCTAAGCTAGCCAGATACTGAGGGACTGTGTCCCTGGTGAGTGGGGCTCAGCGCAGATGCCTCACAGCCTGGCCCTCCCCTCCACATACACATACGTGATCTCAGTTGCCCTGTTCTGTGCGATCCTGGGGACCAGAGTCCCTTTCCCCTTTGTGTCAGCAGGACTGACCTCATCACTCCCGCAGAGTCCCCACAGCCAGTATTTCCTCCAGCTTTTTCCATCACAGCCAAGTGGACCCTACGAACAGGCGGCAGGATCTTCTATAACCAGCTTGACCCTCGGCCGATAACAGGCAAATTTCAGCCTGTTACACTTTGTCAGGCACAGAAGGGACGGCCCGTACTGTTTTCTTATGAGCATGCTCAGTATGGCGTATGGACCTATAATTTAACATCTTTGTGGAGTGTGATTTTTTTTTTTTACATAGTTGTATGCAGTAGAGGGCTTGTAGAAAACTCTCCCTGTATTTACTGTTCTGTTCAAGAAAGCTGAATTCCACATTGCCAACAAAAGCGTGAAAATGTTCGTGAACCTTCTTCCAGGAAAAGCCATTCAAGCCTGATTATTTTTCTAAGTAACTTCAATTAAATTGAAGAAAAAAAGAAGCCTCTCTCTGTGTATGGTTTGTTCATGGCTCATTGACATAAAACTATAGGGGTGGGGTGGGCTGTGTTCCTTAGCATGTGGGGGGCCCTGCTCGTGTGTATCAGAGGATAGAAAGGGAGATGGAGACACCGACCCCTCTGGCAGCCTTGGCCGTGGTAAAGACCTCCACAGACCCGAACCCTGTCTGTCTGGTGGATGAACAGAAGCTTCATTCCTGTAGAGAAACATGCTCGGAGGCCCACCCTGATCATATAGACTACCACCCCCGTGAAAAATAAGGAAACAGGCCCTGGAGGGCTAAAGGGTGTTGATGGCAGAGCTGATATCCCAACGTGGGTTAACCTGCCTTCAGAGTTGTGGTGCTTGGGACTTCCCTGGGGGTCCAGGGGCTATGACTCTGCGCTTCCAATACATGGGTCCCTGGTTCAGTCCCCAGTTGGGAACTATATCCCACATGCCACTGCTAAAGGTCCTGCATGGCCAAATAAATAATAAACCATTTTAAAAGAGTTGTGGCACTCAGTGACATGACTGTCCTCACTTCAGAAGTTGTAGACCCTCCCTTCAAAGCCCTATTTTCCATTTCCAAATCTGCTGCTTTTCTGACATCCTACACAGCTTCTTTCAGTCCCGTTAATGGTTATTTTTAGCTTTACTGATAAAAATTATTTATATGCCAAAGAAGAAATCATCTCAAAGTTGCAACTTCATTGTACCCTAATCTTAAAAAATGTATCATGTAAACATTTTAACATGAGAATATTGGATTAGAAAATACACCCCATTTTTTCAGTCAT